AATCAGTTGAAGTTGAATCGAGGCCGTCACGCACATATGGCCCGATCACCTAGTTATTGGCGGATAGGCGAATTTTTAGCAGGTAAGTCTATAGCATCTTTAATTGGGCAGGATGATGATCAAATTTTTATATAAACTTTTTCATGGTGGAGATAAAATGCAGACGCTACTGGACGGAATAAAGGGGGTAAGCTTCTAAAGAAACTGAGATGCTTCCTCGGTTTGACATTTTGCAATGTAATTTAGTTTTATCAAGAATGATAAGGTGAATTGGCAGCAGTAACTAAGAGATTTCAAAGCCGACATTTCGGGTATTAACCCTTAGTCAATTTTCCAAAGCGGATTTTGAGCTCTGAACTCAAATGGCCAACTTTACGGTTGAGAAGCCAACTGGCAAGAAAGACGTCGAGCCTACCTTTGCAAAATAATTCAATCACAGGAAACTCACTTGTGTTCACGGTACCAACAGGTCTACAGCAACCGAAAGCGACTGAACTTTGATCGTTACTTCTTCTCGTGTCAACTCAGTGTAAATCGATTTGCAATGACAAGTGCAGCCTATTTCTACATTCAGCAGCCTGTAATAATCCATGAACCGTAAGAGATCGGCCCTCTGCACTGTTTTTCTCAAGAACAGCTCGAGGAGTGTGTGACATATACAAACGATTATGAAGAGTATTTTAGTTTACGAAACAAAGAAGTCTTTTTTCGCCGTGATCTGCAGTTTGATCTGCTGTCCTCTTCATTGCTTACGTTGCTGATTAAAGGTTATTCAATGCGCAGTGGAAACCACGTTGAATAAGACAACGGAATGTGTCGTACATGTTGTCATACCTACACGACTGGCTCACACAGACGAGAGGTAGTTTCCGTTTCTGTGTTTAAAAGAACGTCTAAGAAAAAAGTTGGGAGCTTAAAGAAGGAAAAAAAATTTACTTTGAAGAAGAATCAGCTGAGATCTACAATTCAGACCAGCGCAGCTGTTTATCACGGATCAACATCAAATGTAGGTATCGTATTGAGCCGTAAATGAGGCATTCAGAATGGTACGCTTGACATCATAATGCCAGTTTTATTCTGGTGTTTGCAGAGATATCAGCTTCGTTGCACTTACTTGGAATCGGCTGTCTTTCGAAAACGTGTTTTTTTTAATGTTGAAGTCCCTCGAATGCTAGTAGTTAGGACAGTGGCCAATTATAATGACTGCTCCAATATCGCCCCACGGACCAAACGTCTCCTTTGTGCCGTCGACCTTTATAATTGATACCTTCAGCTTCTTTGTAACCTTTCATTGGTTTTAATCTATTAATTTCTCCTCGATTTTAATCTGTTAATTTCGACCACTAGTTCTCAGAGACTGGAAAAGCAATCTTCATTCGCACATATGACAGAGTGGCAAGATTGAAAAGGACCCTTCGCTTCCGCATGTCCAATGGCTCAAAAATTAAGAGATATAAACAAATACAGTTTTTACCTGAACAAGGACAAACGATCGCTCGCTCTGCGCTCTTCGTCAACCAACAATCAACCGCCTTGGGTTTTCATGTCCGGTGATGGTGTGATTTTTGTCACGCCGATTTGGAAATTGTATTCGTTTTGAATGACAGCTTCGATTTGGTCGTTTAATGTGCAAGTAGTTTAGATTCCGACTGATTCTACCACTTGATAATAGTACTTCAATTTTCGCCAGTTAAGGGAAAAGAGATAAGTCGATGACTCGATTCGTAACACAACTGAGACTTTACTTAAACTAGAAAAACGGAAGCAGAACGAGCGGGCTTACAGGCTAAAGTAGAACCGCGCGGGACCCGAGGCCACGCATACCTAAAACTAATGTATCGCCGAACGGAACTGGCGTGGCTTCCTTTTCCTCTGCCCTCAAACTATATAAAAAGGAGACAAGTTCCTTAGGTACATGGCAAATATCAAGCTAAATTCAAATAAGTAACAGTAATGGATGTAAAATTTATAAAGAAAACTAATCGAGTTCTTTGAACCAAGGGGTGGCATAGTTGGAGTCCATAACTCAGAGTCACAAGCATAGAGTTTATAGTGTCCATTACTCAATTACGGTCCATAAAAAATTCATCATATCGTGCAGGACGACGTCGCGCGCGTGTGGATCTGCGGGGAAAGGAACAGGCATCAGAGGCATTTCCTGTGGTGGGGGAGTCTAAAACTGGATCAGGAGGAGTGTCTTCGCAGGGCTCGTATTGGTCGGCAGGAAGGATGGAATCAGGATCTTCCTGAGTAGCAGGTGTCAATATTGCACTTGGTATGACGGGTGGAGAAGGAGGGGAAGATACTGGCTGTGCTGGAAGGGCTTCGTCGGATGAGGAGTCAGTGTCACTGTTGACTGCTGATGGTTGGAAGTCTGTTACTTCTAACAATCAGTCTTGTTGCTAACCGCCCCCCGGTTAGCTCAATTGGTTAGAGCGCCGGATTGTGTTGTAGGAGTCGTTAATTTTCCACGCACGAGATTACTGTGTGGTGGATGTCCTCCCTGGGGTGGGATGGGTAGGTGTTCACAGGGCCCCATTTAAATGGGCTATCTGCTAGGTGGGCTTCCGGAGTGTAGACGACATGAACCTGGCAGAAGCAGAAGTGTTCGTTCCGTTTGAGGAAGTGTGGCTCAGGAGTTAAGTTGGGGATGCGTATTTTTCCCACGAAGCTGGAAGCCATGGTTGGCTGTGGTCACAGTTGGGAAGCTGTTAGCTTTCTTGCGCTAGGGGCATCAGTCCGCGGCTCCAATGCATATACGAAGTTAGGAGGCCCGTCGCTCGGTAATCTGACTTCTCGGCCATTCTCCAAGCCAGTTAGTCGTAGACGTGGGTGGGGAGCGGAACACAATGGCACGGCGTGCTGTGGAGTTGATCGTTACCGGTTGCTGGGAACTATAGTTGTGGATAGTTCCATCACCAANAGGTGTCAATATTGCACTTGGTATGACGGGTGGAGAAGGAGGGGAAGGTACTGGCTGTGCTGGAAGGGCTTCGTCGGATGAGGAGTCAGTGTCACTGTTGACTGCTGATGGTTGGAAGTCTGTTACTTCTAACAATCAGTCTTGTTGCTAACCGCCCCCCGGTTAGCTCAATTGGTTAGAGCGCCGGATTGTGTTGTAGGAGTCGTTAATTTTCCACGCACGAGATTACTGTGTGGTGGATGTCCTCCCTGGGGTGGGATGGGTAGGTGTTCACAGGGCCCCATTTAAATGGGCTATCTGCTAGGTGGGCTTCCGGAGTGTAGACGACATGAACCTGGCAGAAGCAGAAGTGTTCGTTCCGTTTGAGGAAGTGTGGCTCAGGAGTTAAGTTGGGGATGCGTATTTTTCCCACGAAGCTGGAAGCCATGGTTGGCTGTGGTCACAGTTGGGAAGCTGTTAGCTTTCTTGCGCTAGGGGCATCAGTCCGCGGCTCCAATGCATATACGAAGTTAGGAGGCCCGTCGCTCGGTAATCTGACTTCTCGGCCATTCTCCAAGCCAGTTAGTCGTAGACGTGGGTGGGGAGCGGAACACAATGGCACGGCGTGCTGTGGAGTTGATCGTTACCGGTTGCTGGGAACTATAGTTGTGGATAGTTCCATCACCAAGGATTACTTGGCGCTTGGCAGGACGTACTGAAACGTCATTAGACTCCATGAAGGGGGTTCCTGCTAGGACGTCTACATCAAGATTTTCGACGAAAAGGCATTCGAAGGTAAAAGTATGGTCTTCACGGGCAACAGGGAAGCGTTTCGCACCGACAACGTGCAGGAGAGATGAGTCATCTGCTTGGTAGACAAATTGGGAACTGGGTGTCACCTGGCGGCCAAGACGCTGGACGACGGTGTGACGAATCATGTTTCCTGTGGCGCCACTGTTGATGGTTACCCGCGCTGGGTGGTGTGCATAGAACACGTCTAAGTATGGTGACTGACGAGTCTGTATACGGAAGACAGGGCTGCTTGGGCTTGATCCGATGTCGTCGGTGTCACTGATTGATTCATCTACACGGGGTCTAGTCTCAGGTTTAGAAGGATCATCAAAGATGTCGGCGATTTGCCTGGCTTTGGCGATGTAGTTGCGGTCCTGTTCTAGGAGGAACCTACGCAGGAAATAGGCGTTATCAGAACGGCCGGCATGTTTGCACAGTGGGCAGGACCTGGTTGGACGGTTGGGTCTTGTGGTCGTCTTGTGTGGAGCTCTGCTGCCGGTAGGTTTATAATAGTTATTAACAGCGGTGCACATAATCTTGGCGTCGTCAGTGGTACACATTTTGTCAAGCAAGGAGGTGAGGGCCTGGGATATTTCAGGTTTCATCGAGGCTAGAGCTCGTGGCCTTGATTCCGTTCCGTTCGTTTCACAAGCTTAGGTAACTTAGGATGTATCAGTTTAAGCCAGATCAGGACAATGAAATTCTCCAAGGTGGGAGTAAGTTCCTCATCTTCGGTGGTCACTTCACCACGGTAGAACAGGCTATTGGCACGGAGTAAGGTGTCGTTGACAAAGGCCATAAGTCTTTGGAAGAGGTCCTCTGGGTGCTCATCGGCTTCTACATGCAAGTTAGCGAAATCCAGAAAGTGAGCTCCTGTGATTTGGAAGCCAAAATGTGCGTGTATCATATTCCAAACAGACTGGATAGAGGTCGAATTCTTCACTAACTCAAGGTATTCCGAGATATTACAGGACAGTAACCGGCTATTTGCCCGAGCATAAGCTCCAGGAAATTGACTTTTTGCCGGGCTGTACGGCGTTTGGAGGGAGGTGCTGTTTCTCCATCGTCGGTGCGACCACACAGGGGCTGGGTCTTAGTCTTCTTACCCCATGTTGTGTCATCGGCGAGAAAGGGAGTGAAATTGCTGTCGGGTGACAAGGTACAAACCAGATTTTGTCTCCAGTTCTCGAAGGTGTTTATAGACTCGTTCTTCGAGAGACTCCACTGCTTCGGGGCTCGTGGAAAAGCCATGACTGTTGTTGTGTATCGGATATACGAGAGAATCGAGCTTGAACGACGAAAAATGTTCGACATATCGACGTAACTCCGTTAGGAATGAGTAGCCTTCCCTTGAATTTGGGCGTCGATTTCTTGCCGTAGGCTCGAGGAAGCTGCTACCACGCCAGTCAGAGGAAAGAGATAAGTTCGCCGATGACTCGATTCGTAACAAAACTGGGGTTTTAATTGAACTGGTAAAACGAAAACAGAACTAGCGGGCTTTCAGACTAAAGTAGAATCGCGCGGGGCCCGAGGCCACGCATGGCTATAACTAATGCATAGCTGACCGGTATTGGCGTTTAGTTTGGTTTTGTGCGGAAAATCAAGTCTTATTTCATTCTCAAATACTAATTATGCAGAATTGAGAGAGAATTTGACGGTGAACATGCCAAAGTATTCATGAAAGCGTGAAAGCATGAAAGCATGAAAGCATGAAAGCATGAAAGCATGAAAGCATGAAAGCATCAAAGCATGAAAGCATCAAAGCATCAAAGCATGAAGTAAGAAAGTCATGTTGTGGTGTAAGTCCGTAAACCTTCCCTCGACCCCCTCACGGTTTTCAAAATGGCGGACTATCGTGACACATTCGTGTTATCTCTCTTGTGACTCGTCCTGGTTCGTTTCGAGCACCGGTCAACGATGAACAAATTTGTTCGGCTTTCTTCCGATAAAGTTTTTGTATTTTTGGGTTTAGTTGTTTTTTTCTTCAACCCCTCACTTCTGCATTTCGACATTGCTATTGATTAGAACAAAAGAGCTAAATCGTCAAGCGTTCGCACATGCGCGTTTACTCTGAACATATGTAACTTATATTTCGAAGAAGAATTTGAATTGAAATGAGAATTAAAAAAAAAAAAGAAAACGAAGAGAAATGAAAACATGGAAGACGAAAAAGGCTGGCAAGGCCCATCCTCGGAGACCCAGGGACTGAGTCGATTTCAAGTTAGGGCATGAAGAGCCCCTGGGGACATTGTCTTACAAGACTAGTTCCAAACGGTCGCAGTCGTTCTGCCATCTGATTGGTGACAGAAAATCTTTGTGTTTTTCTGCCCAATCAGAGTGAAGTGTGCTTAAGAGTCCTTTCGTGTGTTTTAACACGGACATATAGACTAGTAGCTCAGTTGCTCGCTATGCTTGTTTGTTTCTTGCGACGGAGATTTGCTTGAGGTGAAAAGTTTCAGTCTCAGCACACAATGCAAGAGAAATCGATCAGATTGTCCGCGAAAATCTTACCGGAAATTATACTGAATACTTTCGCAGCTATCACTAGAGAACGTGTTTTAAAGTTTGCGAGGTTTGTATACAACGCGATGGTTGCAGTCATTGATATGTTGCTTTAAACGTTAAACGAGATAATTTTAAGCTTAAATCCTTCTAAATTTTTTGCATAATTTGCTGTGACTGAAACTTTGCCAATCCCGGGAAGTTNTTTGTTTATTGTAAATGTCAGCTTAGTAGTACAGGGTCATCTACGCACATCTAATAAGCAAATGCTTCCACGCTTAGCTTTTCTTTTTTTTCAAGCGAAGATGAGATTAGATTTTGGCACGCACAGAAAGTTGCGCAAGTACCAGTTGCTCGACATACCTGCGTGGCCCGTGCGACGAAATAACTTCCCGGGATTGGCAAAGTTTCAGTCACAGCAAATTATGCAAAAAATCTAGAAAGATTTAAGCTTAAATCTCGTTTAACGTTTAAAGCGACATATCAATGACTGCAACCATCGTGTTGTATACAAACCTCGCAAACTTTAAAACACGTTCTCTAGTGATACCTGCGAAAGTATTCAGCATAATTTCCGGTAAGACTTTCGCCGACATGATCGATTTCTCTTACATTGTGTGCTGAGACTGAAACTTTTCATCTCAAGCAAATCTCCGTCGCACGGTCCAAACAAACATAGCGAACAAGTGAGCTACTAGTATATGTCCGTGTTAAATCACACGAAAGGACTCTAAAGCACACTTCACTCTGAGTGGGCAGGAAAACAGAAATATTTTCTGGCACCAATCAGATGGCAGAATGACTGCGACCGTTTGGAACTAGTCTTGTTAGAGAATGTCCCCAGGGGCTCTTCATGCCCTAACTTGAAATCGACCCACAACCCCTGGGTCTCCGAGGATGGGCAAGGCCGGGACCTGAACCTTTCGACTCGAGAGGATTATAGGTATATTCATAACGCCAGGTACGCAGAGCATACGAAGTGGCGAAGTTTGGTATGGAAATAAATTTGAAGCACATTTCATAAATGTACCTATTCTAGCTGTTCGTTAAACCCACTTGTATTTAACACCACATTTCTGTGGAAAGTCGATACGATGGGGAAAATGTGGACAGTTACTAGAGATATCACTAAGGAAGAGTGCCAAGGCCTACAGATCCTTCGAAGAAGTACTCCAAGTTGTACACCCGCACCTTGCAAACACCAACGACAGTCAAATAGCATTAAAGAAAGGTGTAACTGTAATTTTGGACGATGCTACCCAATATACCGCGATAGAGACGTCAAACCGCCAGTTTCCGGGAAGCTAGGGCACAACACCTGTGGAAGCTTTATTTTTATTCTTTTTTATCTATTTGCATTCTTTTAGTCTAAGAAAAATTAGTCTGCAATTGCAGGTAGCTGTGGGCATAAATTCATTACGCAGCATTTCATGAAAACGTTTAAATGTTTTCAGCTTTAAACCTTATTACATTGCTTATATCATCTCAGATAAAATGGCCCAGGGAAGTTCAGAAACCTCGAATCAAACCAACAGAGGAAGAGAGGCACATGATCCAAGTAAGTTCTTAGATTTACTAGATCAAGTTTACTTAAGGTGGGGGAAGCACTAATATTTGATGATTTACCGCACATTGTAAACTCAATGTGCGGTAAATCGTTTTACGATGACAAGTGTAGCCTAATTCTATAATCAGTAACCGTTAATAATCCATGAACCGTAAGAAATCGAGTCACTGCATTGATTTCCTCAGGAAGAGCTCAAGGAATGTGTGACGTAACAAATGATTAGGAGAAGTATTTTAGGTGACGTAACAAAGAAGTCTTTTTGTGCAGTGATCTGCGATTTGATCTGCTATCTTCTTCATTGCTTACGTTACTGATTAGAGGTTATTCAATGTGTCCCAGAAATCACGTTGAATAAGACAAAGGAATGTGTCGTAGTCATGCATAGACGATTAGCTTAAATAGGCGAGAGCAGTCCCCGTTTCTCTGTTTAAAAGAACGCTTTAAAGGAAAGTTGGGAGTTAAATGAAGGCAAAAAATATTTTATTCGAAAAAGAATCAGTTGAGACCCACAATTTAAACCAGCTCAGTTGTTTATCACGGATCAGCTTCAAATGAAGGTATCTTATTAAACCGTAACTAGGGCATTCAGGATGGTACGCTTGACATCATAATGCTGGTTTTATCCTGGTGTTTGTCGAGATATCAGCCATGTTGTACTTACTTAGGATTAGCCGTCTTTCGAAAACGTGTTTTGTTGAATGTTGAATTCCCTCGAGTGCTAATAGTTACGACAGTGGCGAGTTATTGGCTGCTCTAATATCGCTCCACGGACCAAACGTGTTACATGTGCCGTCTTCCTTTACGATTAATACCTTCAGTTTCTATGTAACCTTTCGTCGGTTTTAATCTATTCGTTTTCTTTTCGTGTCATGTCTAACCAGTCTATCGACCTCTACTGCTCAGCGATTGGAGAAGTAGTCTTCGTTCGCGCACATGACAGAGTGACAAGATTGAAAAGGAGCCTTCGCCTCCGCATGTCTAATGGCTCAAAATTAGGAGAGATAGACAAATACAAGTCTTACATGAACAAGAACAAACCATCGTTCAGTATGCGCTTTTCATCAACCAACAATCAATCTCCTTGGTTTTTCATGCCCCACGATGGTGTAATCTTTGTCAGGCCGATTTGAAAATTAAACTCGTTGTGAATGAACGCTTAGATTTGGTACTGTTTACAATACATAGTAGCTTGGATTCCGACTGTTTAGTACTTTAATTCAAGTTTGGTTAATAATCATCTTTATTGAGGAAAATTTTTCATAACAGATATGGTTTTCAAAAAGGACCTCGAAACTAGATATATACAGTACAAACAAGAAAGCAATAAAATTGCAAAGAGATTAAAAGGATACAAAAAATGCATAAAAAATTAAAAATAAGTATAAATAAAATTTAAACGTAAGTAGCTATATTAGAAACTTAAAAAAATTACGTTTAAAACTATTGACATTCTTTGCACTGAGGGAGTTAAAATCGGAAACGGCATGATATTGTGATCTTTGCTTCCCCCAATTTCTTTTGACACGTGGTAATCTAAAATTGCCTTTGTTACGTGTATTATGCCTATGAAGTACGTCTTGTCTAATCAACTCCATATTGTGATTAATTAGGCCATTGATGCATTTGTATACGTGTACACACCCTCTTTGAAATCGCCTTTTCTCTAGAGGCAGCCACTTGAGAACGGCTAATGCCTCAGTGGAGGATGAGTACAATGGTCTATTTAAAGTAACTTTAGCGGCCTTATTTTGCAAAACTTGCAAACTAGACATAAGGGTAATATTATGCTTTTGTGCGGATGATTAACTCTTAAATCATGCTAGAATATTAACTCCGCAGAATTGAGAGAGGGTTTGACGGTAAAAACTACAAATAGATCTAAATAGGACAGACAGGCGAGTCGAAATTGTCAATCATTGAAAATGAACCAAATGAATCAGACATCTGACATGATGCTACCCGCATAATTTCAAGTGGCATATAGGGCATGAACCCTCTTACAGTCGAACCTAGTCGACTCTGGGTCATGCATTTTTATGGACATTCTTTAAGAATCTAATAATTTAAAATTTTCTCTCTCGATAACACTGTGAACTAATTCAGTATTGGTTAACAGACCATGAGGCTGAGAGACTGAACTCACTTCTTTTGGACAGCTTATGTCAGTATAACTTATGTATTTCCTGAATTTAAAATTTATATTTATCTGGTAAATGATCTTCTTTTTGGATGCATTTTTTGGATGCACTTTTAAGGAATAGATATATCGTTTGGTGACCTACACGTGTTATACAGTTTCATCTGGGCAGATAGGTATTTGCGCCACAACCAGTTCGGGTATAAATAGTTAATGGAAAAGTCTTGAACGGTCGACTAACTTCAAACGAATCTTTAGCTCATCGACTCAAATAATATAAAATAGAATAACTTTGTTGCGGAGCTTAAAGGCATACAGAAAACATGGATCATGACAAGAGATTATCCTCTCTTGATCTTGGTAAATAGTTTGATCCTCACTGAAAGTCTCTCTCTTCTATCATAAAACGATTCTATAATAGGAAAGAGAGTCGGTTTCTCTAAGAAATTTGGCCAAATCTGTTTCTTCGCTGCACTTAATTCATTTATTTATTTATTACTAAATAGCGTTGTGCTTAATGGCAAACTCTTAGTTGCAGTTGCGGTGTATTGTTGTTTTCTAGGCTTTCCCTCCATTCCACGTTGTTCAACTTCCCTCAATGCACCAAAACGCAGTGTGAGGATATTTTGATGTGATTTTCGGAATTTTTGATTATGAAAACCTCGTCTATTTCAGCGGTAATGATATTGGTGCCATGTCAAACACGTTTCCATATGATACTACCTCGTTTTAACTTGAGTTTAATTTGTAATTCTAAGGAGCACCAAATTATTTTGATGGTGTATTTCTGATCACATATTTCATGGTTATTTGTCAACGAAGTTTTGTGCCTTCCCTATAAAAAGGCCCTAAGCTCTATATTAATGTTATGGTGCAAGTGCGTAAACCTGGCCCGAGCCCCTCACGGTTTTCAAAATAGCAGACACTCGTATTATCTCCTGTGACTCGCCCTGGATAAGTTCCGACACTGGCGATCGTTGAACGAATCTGATCTGGATTGATTTTTGTTTTTTCAGGTTTAGTCCTTTTTTTTCTCAAGGCCTCACCTCTGCATTTCTGCATTGTTATTTATTTAAATGTCAGAGCCATAGTGAGTCGTCAAACGTTCGCACATATTTGCGTTTGACTCTGAACATATCTAACATATCCTTTGAAAAAGAATTTCAATTGCAATGAAAGTAAAAAAAGGAAAAACCAAACAAAACAAAAAAAAAACAAAAACAAAAATGCTGTTGCGGCCGGGACTCAAACTTCATACCCTCAGACTCGAGAGGAGTCTATACCCATAGCCTGAGCTATACCCTTGGCGCCAGGTACGCAGAGGGTACGAAGTGGTGAAGTTTTATATTGAAATTAATTTAATGCAAATTTGATACGTTTACCTATTCTAGCTGTTCATTGACCCTGTTGCATTTAATAGCACATGGCTTTTTTAGTGCAATACTCTACAAGTGTACAACAGTAGGCACATGCAGTCATAGACTGCTTGAGCATGTGGAAAAATATGGCCAGTTGCTAGAGATATTACGAAGGAAGGGTGTTAAGGCCCATGGATTCTTCAAGGGAGCAATCAAAGTAGCACACCCGCACCTTAAAAACTTAAACGAAAATCAATTAACATAAAAGAAAGGTGTATAGTTGTAGGTAAGTGTAATTTTGAATGATGCCGCTTGATATACCGAGATGAAGATGTCCAACATGTTTCGGGATGCGATAGTGCAACACCTGTGGAAGCCTTAATTTTTTTTTTTTTTTTTATGTAAGGAAATTACTCCGCAATTGCTTCATATTGCAGCTAGCTGTGAACAAAAATTCATTACGCATTTTATTATGAAAACCTTGAGTTGTTGCAAGCTTTAAACACGATTACGTTCCTTCTTTCATCTCAGCTATAATGGACTTGGGAAGTTTAGAAACCTCGGATCAAACTGAAAGAGCAAGACAGGCCCCTGATTCAAGTATGTTGTTAGATTTACTACATCAAGTTTACCTAAGGTGGAGGAAGCACTGTTTTTTAGTAAGTCATCATTGCTTGATGCAATAATTACCACAAATGATTTGGGTGTTGGTAAAAAAAGATTGCCATTGTATTTGTTGTCAAAGAAGATTTCTCCCAAAGATAACATAGAACCTATCAAGGGTAACAGTTATAAAATGCCGGAGAGTTTCTTTTGGTCCTCATGGCCATTTCATATTTCATTCTGTGGAACCTGTATCTAGGGGTTAACCTGTAATAAGTGAGGCGGTCAATCGAGGGTCACCGCTTAACCCAGGGTCGAATGTAATATTATTTAAAACTTTTATACGTTGGTGTTTACATGAAGTGACGTGTAATGGACTTTGCAGATCGCCTTATTTGTCTTCAGGATACGCTGCTGAAATCGAAGAACTGAGAAAGAAGGTCGTTACTTTACTACAATGCGTGTCAATACAGGAAGAAGCAGGAAACTATTGGAGGGACCTTGGAGCAGTTCTTGAAATACCAGAAAGCGAGATTCGCAATATAGAAACAGATCATCAACGCGCAAGAGATAGAGGATTTGCCGTACTTCAATCATGGAGGGATAGGAAAGGGTGTGACGCAACTGTGGGATGTCTTTTCGACGCCTTTAAAGATATTGGTAAAAAATGGAGTGCAGAAAAATTGTTGGGTAGGTAAATCTGTTTTTAATTGCCTAGAGAGCGGTATGCTTTGATCATAGCATAGTTAATACAACTAAACAAAAGCTTCATTTAGCGCGAAAATGTGCTCGCACATTTGTCAGAGAAAATCACCTGTCCCCTCCGTACGTCGCCGAGTATGGGTTGTAATGCGGTGGTGGCACAAATACATTTCTATTTGTTTACTGCTTTTTCTTTTCAGAGGTATGTCGAGCCAAGCGGTAGGACAATCCCTGTGTGCTGTGCGAAAGAAGCAACGAAGTGAAGAGCTCAAAGGAGTCGAAGAAAGAAATGTTACTATGAATAAAAATCTGATGAATATAACAGTTGTTTAAAAAAAAGACTTGGCAATGCCCTAGTTTGGGCGGGTTTATATTATTATGATATAGGTAAGTTAGTGTGGAAAAAATTGTTTTCTTCACTAAGGTTAAGCTATCAATAAATACCCATGTTTTTCATATACTGACTTCATGGACTTGTCTTTTCGTTTTTAGTGAACTTAAATTCGTTACTTTACGCAGACATTTCCTTTTATTTTTAAGTTCTATTTAGAGTAGTGTTCTGTGATCACTCGGATGAGGGTAGGGCTAAAAATGTCTGTTAGTGGTGAGAGTGACGGAAGGTTAGATAGCTCACGTTTGGAGCCGGGATTCGCAAGTAAAATTTATCTAAAAGGATGATATTTGTTGCCAAAACTCGTCACTGGATTCTAAGCTTCCTGATTACGCGATCTAATTTGGGAAAAAAAAGTTAAACGTAACTGTAATGCTTTGGCCTTGCTGTGTGTGACCGTGGAAGTCTGCAATTGGCATGTATCGTGAAGAAAATGAACATCGCCGACTTTTGCCTTTCACTTTTTCTTCCAATATTGCCAAACACGCTCCGAAATCGCCTTTCTTCACACAAGAGCTGCGGGTGATTTAAAAATGTTTTTTTATGTTCAAGAATTGCATGCATAATGAAGTATGGGGTTATACGGAAATCTTGCCGGGAATTTCACTACTTGCAAGGCAAGGCAAACCAGAACAGATTTCGACACTTTTGTCACAGAAAAGGTACGCGTTTAAGGGAGGAATACTTTAATTTGTGGAAATTATTTTGTTCCAGAAATACCTATCTCAATAGTCCATTTTACAGTTGTGGGCTTGGTGGCCAAGCCTTTGAACAGGAGCGAGGCTTAGGATGACCTTGTTATGATAGAGGTGTTGCTGCTTTTCAAATGCAAATTACTTTGTTATCATGCTAACTAGATACAGGTCTATCACAACAGGGTCACCCTTAGCCTCACTCCTGTTCAAAGGCTTGGCCACCTAGCCCACAACTGTAAAAGGGACTATTGTCTGTTGTCCACTCTATGGCTTTCACGATTGTGTGTTCGTGACTTCACAAGACTTGCACAAAGACATCAAGCATTGATCCAAACAAACGTTATTAAGGTCATGCTCAATTAGCAACGAAATGCATGACGAAATGATATAGCAACAGTTTCTTCCATGACTTAACATAATCAAAAATCACTAACCGCTATTAGAGAGAGGGACTGGTAACAAATTATCAAAGAGCCACAATGGAGGTACAAATTTTCCCCCCTCCCCCCATCCCACAAACAATGATAAATTTTGTGCACTTTGTAACCTTTACCAAGACGTAGTTACTGTTTAGTTTTACCAACATTGTTAGAAGAGAGGGGAGAGGTTCTTCGTATAAGTCAGCATCAACAAGAGGGGTCTTTTGTCATGCATTTAGATATAGTGTTTTCAATACCTTTAATTTCCCAACTTAGACCTGCATTGTTAGCCAGATATCGCTAGGGGAATGTGGTGAATAAGTGGAAGTGAGCAATGGCTCATTCAACTCTAAGCGAATCTAAGTGAATTACGTGTCACGAACTTATGAATAGTATTCCACACATCACGAATTTAAAATGGAAAAATTCAAATCTCACCTTCCATTAATTTTGGACGTCATCACACGGCACGCATGGATCCTTTGCCACTCTCACTGAGGTAGTGTTTCGTACTTTTGTATCAATAAGCTCATTCCTTTAAAGTTAGATAATGATCTGATAGTTCAACAACGCGCTGTCTTCGTCGCATTCCCACAGATTGACATAGCAGTGTAGGTATGAGGAAAAATTACTGATTTTTAGTTCAAGATTGCATTTATTTGAGATGGGTAGTAGTCCATCGGCGAAAAATTTGTTTGAGATGGGTAGTAGTCCATGGGCAAAAACTACTACTTATGGTCTTCACTCCTTTTCATATATGGCTTCAAAACTATGGAACTCTCTTCCGGACTCTTTTAGAACGTCTGACTTTTCTGATTTCAAGCGCAAGATTCTACAGTATGACTCTTTCTCATAGTTAAATTTTAGAATGTTACAATTTTACATTTTACATTTTACATTTTAGTAGTATTTAAAATTATACTTGTAACTCGAAGATACTAGCTTATTCTTTAGCTACTCCAAATCCGAGATTAAATAAAGTATATGTATGTATGTATATGTATGTATGTATTTAAACTCAGTTGGAGAAAGGTGGATGTTTCATCATATTCTTTTGTAAGAAAAGGTATTCAGTAAACACAGTTTTTTCTGTCAGTTTTACCTTTATCTCATCTTTGTGAGCTAATAATGAAGCTGTAAGCCTTTGAAAACGCAAGCATGATGTGATTGCATAAGACAAGGTGCTCGGAGGAAAGAACCCAAGAGTCAATTTGAGCGAGATACTATAAAGCCATAAAGGCCGTAACGCGAAAGGCTTTGTTTAAAGCGATTAAAAGTCGCAGAATCTTAGTACGGACTTATTGACCCAGAAACTCCCCAAAAGTAATAAAACAGTAACTGATTAAAAGTAAGGAGCGGATCAAAAGAAATTCGTGGGGAATTTCTGTTTGGATCGGACATCTGTAATGGATTTATCCCAATTATTTTTTTTAAAGAGCCACCCATAATTAATCTTTTTTCATTGTGGAACTTTTAAGTCTGTGTCAAAAGTCTTCCAGTAAAAAAAAAAGAAGAATGTCCCGTATTGCTTAGTCTCTGTATCTTATCCAGTGTAACATTGATGACGATAAGGACGTCGACTGAGGACTAGACCAACAATAGCTTGATTTTCAATTTTATTTGGTATCACTCTTACTGAAGATCTTAACGAAACACGTCTTACTATTACACTGTTAAAAAGGTCTCGAAGGTAGCTTTACTGTTTGCTCTTTGTAACTTATTTTTCCCTGATGATGTTCAGGGCTATCTATGTAACTCTTGAATAATGACGCCATGTAATAGCAAGAAATAAAAAAAATGGCGTGCACGCATTATGGCAAAAATTTTTTTTTCCCACTTAACAGTAAGAGCGGAGGTTAACATTGCACACAAAAAAAATAACAAAAGAAAACCCTATGAGGTTAACAAAGATAAACCACGCAACTAATATAATTCTTTTAGGCTTGTGGAGCGGCTGCTGGCCATCGCAACTGTTGTAACGCTATACCCAAGACTGCTTGCGTGCGAAAAGAAAAGGAATTCAAACTTTGTGTTTACATCGACTAAATTAAAAATTCTCGTTTTATTTTGTCTTACCAATTTTGGTCCATTCGAGTCAAATACAAACCAGCCACTCACGAGGAGCAATCAAGAATCTTGACACTTGGTCGACGAATGTGTGATATCACCGCTTCACAGCAGCCTTGAAGTGACTCCTGAAGATTCGGTAAGCCAGGTCGATTCAGGTCATTCGAAAGCGCTTTATCGCTCTAGTTCTTCGTCGTTTTCGTCAAAGAGAAGAAGAGACACTAAAATAAAGGCCACCATCGCAAGTCTTCAAGCAAAACAGCTTTCCGAACGAGTTAAGAGAGACAATAAAGTAGGTGAGCACGAGTTTCAACTGGAAGAAGAAATGGCTCAAAGGGAATTAGAGTAAAAACTTGAATGTCGAAAACGAGAGCTCTACCTTCTACGAAGGAAAAGAGAAGACGAAATGGCTGTGATTTCTTCTCAAAATCAAGCTAAAGTGGCACACCTTGAGCATGAAATACTGGGTCAAGAATTTAACGAAAGAAAGGCCTTCAATGATGAAATATTCAAGGTCGGTAAGTCTTCGCCATATTTGAAACATTATGTAGTGCCCAGTCCTAAAGCAACCTCTGAGGTTGAACACAAAGATAGTTCTTGTACTGAAGTTAAACCCGGAATTACTAAGGGATACGTTTTCCAAGAACTCAAAGGAGATGTTTACACAGAGTCATCTCTGGATAGAAAAGCTGACGTTTCGAGCGTTAGCCCTTCGTCGGAGCGAATAAAGGAATGGTGGGTTGTGTGTGCTTTTAAAGACAGAAAATGGAGCTACGTTATTGGTGGGAACATGGCAACGAGAAAAACAAGAATAAATTAGTGGAGTGAAAAGCGTTTTATTCTTGTTTTTCTCGTTGCCATGTTCCCACCAATAACGTAGCTCCATTTTCTGTCTTTAAAAGCACACACAACCCAC